CTGGTGAAGGGGACTCATGAAAAGAAGGGTGAGTGTCTCTTTGTAGAAATATCAAACTGTTGGGGAGGGGAACTTTTTGATGCACATAATGGGAGGCGGGTCAGAGTCAGAGGACTGTCAGTACACAGCCACTGTCAGTAAGAGGAAAACATGAAAAGAGACTCAAAATTGGTGACAGGCTGGGGTTGTTACAGACGGGGGAGTGCTGCATCTCCTGGTCCTGCAGCCAGCGCTTTGAGGGAGGGGCAGTGACCGGTCCCGCTGCTGTTGCCGAGGTGTCCACATCCTCAGCTGACCTTGGGAAAGACTTCCAAGAGGAAGGTGAGACACGAGTAGCACCTCTGAGACACAGCTCCCATGTGCGAAGGGTGCAGGCAGCCTCTGCTCTCTGCTTCCTGAAGCTGTTGAAACAGATTTTAAGCTTGGAAAAAAGACAAATGTTTCTCCCTTCCTCGCAGGCTGTACATCCCGCTTTCCGGCGAGACCCGAGCTGTTCGCATGCCAGGGAGGCAGCTGTGAACTGTGAAAGGTCTTTGCAGAAGAGCTCTAAGAGGGTAAGAGTGATAGCTGGAGATCCAGTTAAGTGGTGTACCGTGTTCATGTCGCAGCTTGCACTGCCTATGCAGCAGATGTAAAGAAAAGCAGTGCCTCTTTTTATCACGCAGGCTTGATAAAACAACAATAACGTACATTCGGTTACATCTCTGCTAAACATACCCTCTTTTATTGCTTTTCAGGAGTTCAAAGCATTAGCATAAAACAATTGAGGTGGCTGTTTTTTCCCTAAGAGAGCGAGTGCCTGTTTACAAACTCATTTTATTTTCACAATATTCTATTGTTATTTATTTCAGACAGAAAGCTGTCAGATTAATGCACTCCCTCATGCAGGACAGCTTGCTTTATTGTCTGTTATTAAGACATAACATCTATAACCTGACAGGCACTGCCCACGTCTGCATTCCACCAGTGAAAGGCAAATTAAGTAGAAAATGGAGATCTCCAGTATTTCTTAGGGCTAAAGTGATATTAGTTTTTAACTCATTTTGTATTCATAGAGGATCCTGCATATTTGCAATATATCTGACAGAGTAAACTGTCCAAAGAAAAAGGGTTTTTAAAAAATTCTTATACCTGCTATCTCTGAGAAATTCAGACTTTAGAAGCACAGGAGGAGTCATGAAGTCTCCTCATCTAAAGAGTTGTCAGGAAAGAATGAAAAAAACCCCACATTACTCAGGTGGCACAAGAAACCCTTCAGAAAGCAGATCTTGGGGGAATAGCAGTGCAGGGTGAGAAACTTTGAACCTATGCCTAAAATAACCCAACAAATGGCCCTCACCCTCCAGACCCCAAACCACAGCACTCCTGTTGCCTCCAGTACCAGTTTCCAGCAAAAGCTGTTACAGCTTCCAGAGCAGGCACATGGTGTTCCAAACAATTAAAAAAAATAAAGTATCAAATTACTTTTTCTTTGATGTGTGTTTCCAGCTGGGGGAGGACTCTTGTGCCCTTCCTCCTTTTTACAGTGACAGTTGGAGTCATTGTCCAGAAAACCCCAGAGGGTCACCCAGTTTTGTGCTACACTAAGTTTCCACAGAAACCCCTTAGAAACGCCTTGGAAGCCCATGGGGATGCTGCTGCAGGTGCTCACCCTCCCTCTGCAGCACCCACTTCTCACCCCATGTGCCGTGGGGACCTGGAGGAAGGCTTGGCTCATCCCTCCTGGGGTTTGCCTTCCCCGCTTCCCCCAATCCTCCTCTGCCTCTGCCCAGCTTTTGGCTCTGCTCTTTGGCAGCCCTCAGCAGTACTGAGCTGCTTGGAGGAATTCTGCTACAGTTTTTGGATAGGGTATTTGAAAAAAAAAATACACTTTCCATTAGTGTTTTCTTAAAAACTGACTCAAGCCTACTACTCTTTCTCACTGGATTTCAAATGATAGAAATTGTGAGGGTTTAATCCCTCACAATTAATTCAAGTCCTGCTATTTTTGGTGCAACTATAAGTGGAAGTGGGATGGCAGAAGCACCTTCCCTGGTTCCAGTCATACAAGTAATGTTATTCACATCTTTTCATTATCATTGATTTTTTTTTTTTTTTCCCCTACTCCCCAGGATTTAATTGCTATACTTGGTTAGTGACAGAAGCCACTCTGGAAAGAGTCTGCAAGAGGTACACTGGCTCAGAGACTTCTCCCCTTATGGAGCCCTATGGGCTCGTCCCATTTTCCCCCTATACTTTACCAATAACAAATTATTTTTTTTCCAGCCCTCCCTGGAGGATCAAGTAAATCAGTTTTATTATTGCAAATAAACACTAACTGAATTAACAGGAGATGAGGAACAGACAGAAGCCAGGTTGAAGGAAGACTAATCTGAATACTGGGGGAAATACAGGGCAAGGCTGGTGTACCCCTACAGTCACCTGAAAGGTAAAACCCCATTTACTCAAGAAAAATTACTTCAGTCTCGCCTCTTGTGTATACACTTTTAAATGTGTTGGGATTATTACTGACCCTTATTGCAGCGTCTGGATCAGCTCCCTATTACAGAGGTAGAAGCCATGCTTTAAAAGCTTAAAATAGTAGTTCTGTTTGCCTGTGGTGATGTACTAAACAAATCGTTATAAAGAACTAGCTCTTCTTCAATGTAATTACTCTTTTTTTTTTTTTTTCTTTTGTCCATCATGTTGCAAACCTGTTGGCAGAGATCGAGCTCAGAAGCTTGAGCACAACCTCGGTCCCTGTCCCTGCCCCATGCACATGTGACTCTTCTGGAGCAAGACCAGGACATATTTAGGTAAGTCCTTACTCCTTTTCCCTCTCCTGCCCTGCTTCCTATAGAAGCAGGCCTGGGTACATGCGTTAGGATTTTAGTATTCGGGCAGCAAAGCTACTGTGAGGGAAACCACTGGTATCCTGCCAAGAAGTGCCTGTTGGCAGAAATACTGTGAAGAACATAGTCAAGGATTTTTACATGCAGTAAATCCCCATGTGTGCAAATATATGATACGGACAAGCAATACTACTCTGAAATATTCTAGTATCCCTCAATGTAATAAATATTTTATTAGAGTAATAGAAAAAAATGCATACAGATAACCATAGGATACACACACAACGGGAAGTTTAAGGATAAAGTTCAAACTTTTCAATATGAAACAAGGTACTCAGTACATATCTCATGGAGATATATAACTAGAAATTAAATAATACAATATAATTGCATGAAATTGGCAATACAGGAACATGGACTAGAATTTTGTGAAACAAGAATAGAAAGAGTCACCCTTTGTTGCATGAAACATAACTATATACTTACTAGTCACACCTGTTTTCCATCTCCCACCCCCCCATTTGCAAGTCTCTGAAAATGTCACTGGTTAGCCCCATTGAAAAGCAACTAGCCATTTATAACTAGGTATGTACAGTATATACAGCTCTTGCTTACTTCAACAGTTAGCACATATTTTCATCTGGATGTGATACTAATAAGGTAATTTGCTATTTGAATGCATATCAAAGTGGTTTTTTTCTACAGTACTACCATAACTTCATGAATCCTGGTTCTCTCCCTTTAGATTTCTGTGTGCTGTAATAATACTCTGAGATTAAAAAAAAAAACCCAAAAACCTCTTTAAAAGGATATGCTTTATGTGACATGAACACTTGTTCTACCATGTATGTGGGCAGCTTGCTAAAAGATGTCTGAAAGACTGTTTTGACTAAATTCACAACTCTGTAAGTCTAATGTACCAGGTCTAATGCATCTTTAATATATTGCTACGAACAAAAGCATAGATTTCTCTATAATAGCAAGCCTGATGTGTCTTTGTGTAGTACTTTTTCTTACAAACTAGAGTATTGCCATAAACTTACCAGAATCATATGACAGCGATGGGGTGCATGAGGGTGCCAGACCAGGTGAAATAGTTTTGAATTGGTTAAAGAGCAGCAGGAAGGAGAGTGATGAATGTAACACTGAATTAAGGATGAGTTTACAGTGCAGTGCAGTAGACAGCAGATCTAGATAATTTGGGGCTGCATATTTGGAAGCACCACATATGCAGGGAGGTGATACTAGTCTCTGTTCGTAAGGCCATGGTGCAACTGAGTTTCAGTAGTGATTACAACTGGGCACTTTTGTTAGTGAAACATACTCATAGGAGGTCAGAGAAATAAGATAAAACTGATCCTGAAGGCGGGAGAACTTGGTTGTGAATAAAAAACCTGGTGAAGAACTATAAAGGGGGGATATAAGGAAATTAACTTTGAAGTCTATTGATGGAGAGGAAGGTTAGGTGCTTGAAAAGGTACAGAAATGTACACTGCCATAAAACAGAGAGCCGCTTTTGAAACACGGCTGTGAAATCATTTTTAAGAGTAGTAGCGGAAGCCCTGCCTCTTGGACCCCCCAATGTGGACTGTGCAAAACTAACATCCATGCGGTGACTTTACCTTGCAGCTTTGATTTCTTGCTGGATTTAGAGTAATTTATATAAAGAGTAGTAAGAAATCTGATCCAAACCTACTGGAGTATGCCACTGTCTTATGAACAGCCACTTGGTTGATGTGTTATTATCCAACTGAAATGCCATGTCTCTGATTTCATCTTTTGCATGTAGAATGGTATCGTAACAGCACAGAACATCCCCAAAACAATTTAGTGTCACTGCAAAAATGGAGTTTCTCACTGAACTAAGCTCTTCCTTGTAACTCTTATCGTAGTGCCATTGCTGTCGCTCTCCCTTACATTGTATCTGAAGTATGTAATATGTAAACTCCTTTGGTTCAAGTATTAAGGCATTTTAGATTCCTTTTTAAAGGATTTGCTAAACTTTACATGATATTTTTACTTCAACCTACAGTGAAATATAAAGAATTTAAAAACACATCAGGATAGAAGAAAAACATGCATTAACCACTGCAGTTTTTTTTTTTAAAAAAGCACTTTTCTGTGGTAACTGATTCTTTTTTTTTTTCCCCAGCAAATGAAAATATATCATCACAACACTGAATTAAGAGTCAAGGAAAATATTGTTGGTAAGAAGCCGGATACACTGAAGATATTCAAGACTGATGGACCAGAACCTCTTGCATCCATACCTGTGACAAATGAAAAATGTCAGGATTAAATGAAAGCATGAGTATCTGCTCTGTCAAATTCTTAGTCTCCCTAGATGCTAAGCAAAAAATTATTGTATATTTTTATTTTTGACAAGGAATTTAAATTTACAAAAATGCACTAAATATTGTAAAACTACAGAAATGTATTGCAAAATGCTGTATGAATGGACTTTACTTTCAAGGTAATAAAAAAAAAAAAGAGAGAAAAGTAAAAAAATCTAACATTTTAAAAAACAATTTACATAGTAATTTACCAGTTCAATAGAATGAAGTTTGTCATTCGTAAGGGCATGAAGACTGTTAATTGCTTTTCTTTTTATTACCTTATTACCATACAACATACAAGTATTAATTCTTTTTTTCTCCCCATCAATAAGGACTGAATTCCTGCAAAGACAAGCTGTGACAACTGCTGGGTGTCAACTGCAAATTTAGTAATGATTCACTACAGCAAGGCAGAGACGTGTCTCTTTATACTGTGGCTGGTATAAAGGAGGTTCAGTAGTGGTTGGGGACACCATATAAGCATGTGACAAAATAATAGTGATTCAGCTTCAACTTACTAGCCAGTCTGGGAATCAGGATCTGCTCACTGCTGGTGCCATCTCCGCCATCAGTTGTTGCTTTTACTTCTATAACGTAATCTTCGTTCAGCTGAAGCAGAAGTTCAGCAGTTGTCTTGTCCGTGTTCAGCACGTTCATATTAGTCTGGCTGCTGGTCCTGTACAAAACCTGCAACACGAGCAATGAGCAACGTCAGTTCTTCCGCTAAGACCTGCCCTGCAATTTTTGTGTGTGTTTCTTAGAAACAAGGTTTCTGTCTTTAAAAAGATATGATGAGAAAAAAGATCTGATTTTTGGTTAATATTATAGGGCAGAATTACATTTAAAGAATGAAGGTAACATCAATCAAGCTCTTTCATTCCACCTTTCATCTAAAATGGCACAATGTATAATGATAAATGAATAATATATTCTGTTGATGGTCTTAATAATATATTGTTCTATAAATTATCTCACCATTTGGAATGTGTCATTACCTAGATCAGCTGCTTATGCCTATACATAGTTTGGGAAGGAGAGAACTGATCAAAATTACAGACTATGTTGGAAGATGTTCTGCAAGTGCTGAGTTATTACTCTGTCATGAAACTTAACTGCATTCAGTGTGCTGTGTTTTAAAGAATGGGAGCTACACCTGAATGTCCCAGCCTGCTGCTCAGTACCATCAGGCAAGAGGCAGGGACTTCAGAACAACATTAGCTTCTCCTCATCCCGAGGGCTTGATGAGCCCAAAGAGCCCCTGGTACCAGTGGCAACGCTAGGCAGAGAGAGGTATGTCCTGGCAGAGGTTAAAAAAATACGTGGATCCAGTGCATTCACCTGGCAGAGCTTCACAAATCGGACAAACAGGTAAGCTTGGGAGTTTCCCAGTGCAAAACCCAGCAAACCCCAACTCCCCCCAAAATAACGGCAATAATGATGAAATGGAAAAATAACCGCAAGGCCACTGGAATTACACAAATGCTGCCACCCCTGAGCCATGGTCCGTACTGCCGTGCCTTGCTATAAAATGCTCTCGGAGGGACGCAGCCGCATGGCTCAGTGCCACAGCATTGTGGCCGCTCTGGTGTTTTCTATATCACTTGTTGGCTCTTCTCTCCTTGCAAACCAACTTCAGTTAACTGCACTGCTTTTTGGGATAAAAATGAGCCTCTTCAGTAAAATTAATCAGCATTATCAAAATTCAGCTTGTCCTTGTGTATGTAGCAATGTCTGTTATCCGCAGGGGAACCTGAAATGGTGGGAGACAGAGTACGCCATTCGAACCTCTACGTGGTATGTTTTTAGGTCATCAACTGTCTGTGAAACGAGGTGGCTTATCTAAGCTGTAAACATGTATTTCTTGCTAATACAGCTCAGAACACTGCATAGCCAAAGCTTCAGCATAAATCTTTTATGCAGGATGTGGGATCCAGCTGTATGCAGCTCATCAAGAACATCCTCAGCTGTTCTCTTAAACATATTTAAGATACATGACATATTTAAAAACCTGAACATTTGTGTGCTGATCAGATTTACAGTAGATGTAGGAACCTAATTTCTATCAAGACAATGAGCACATCCCACAGTAGGTAAGAAAAAAAAGGTTTAAGAATCAGTTTGATAGATGTGGAATCTGGCCAGCAATGGAAACTATACCCATCAGCTACCTCAGGGATTATGTGTTATGCATTTGGGTGTTATATATTTATAATAAATGTTATACATGTGGTAAGTGTTCAGATATTTTTCTGGTCTGCTTTTCCTTACCTTATACCCAGTCACCTCGGACTCGTTCTCCATAGCTCTTACTTCCTCCCAGCTGAGGATGACTCTGGAGTCTGTGACATTCCACACGACGTTCCCTGGCGGTTGACTGGGTGCTTCAAATACATAATAAAAGCAGGACTTTAATTTAATTGGCATTAGTGATTTATTCTACAGCAGGAAATAATAGTTCAGGTAATTGACTGTCATTACATGTCGGATGCAACAGCAACTCCAAATGCAGCCTCATCATTTGCACACTTTATAGTTCAGAGACTAAATTGGAAAAACAGGAGGAAGGAAAAATACAAGAACATCTAAGTGTTATTTCTGAAGCTGCATTATCTGTTGATGGTCCTTCATTAAATATAGCCAAACAGCGTATGTCTTAGGACATGGGTGATCAATTAAAACATATTAACGAAACCAAGGATGGTAACAGATAATTTCTAGTTCTTGTATATTGCCAAGAATAAGCAAATACGTAACGATAGATTATTTGTTAGACAAATTTAATCTTAGCAGATATTCAAGTCTACATGCTACGCTGATTTACTTTAGCATGTTTGTAATGTAAAAATATTTGACAGATTTTTTTTCTGTTCTTTTAACTCAAGGCATGATTTTGAACTGCAGCCTGTGCAATTTCAGTACCTGCAGCTGGAACAATAGTGGGATTCGGCCAGCAAAATCTGTTGGGGCTTTTTTGTTCGTTAACAATCGGAGACTGTTATTTTCAAAAGGAGCAGTGTTCTTTTGGCTGTATACTTTAATACATCTTGAAACTGCCAAGCTTTCAGGGAAGGCGAGGATAAGTACAAACCACTTAAGATGCCTCAAGTTGGTTTCCCAGAAAATGGGTCATGCAGTGACAAAATCAACGATTAATATCTTTTCTAAATGTGTTAAAGAAAACAATTTACTGTTGCTGTCACCTAGTGGAGGCAACTGCTGCTTAGGTGGACCGTGCTACGCTTTGATGCTGAAGGTTCCAGTATTAAGCACTGACAGTGGTTTTAAACGCTCCTGTGCATGTGCTTGTAAGTTGGGTTGGTTTTTTTTTTCCCCCCTCTTTTATTTTTAAATTCTTTCCTTTCTTTCCGTGAGCAGTCAGACCAAAACCCCACCTGATTATACTTCTTAACACAAAGTAGACACAAAAATATAAGAGCAAGACTTAAAAGAATTACTCCAGTCAAACAAGCGCTCACGGGTCTTTTTGCAGTATGTGCCTTGTTCTAAATCCTAAAGAGGATTTAACCTGATGCACTAATAGCTGCTTTTTATAAATGTAAGAGGAGATTGTTTTACTCCTGAGAATTAAGTATTACAGCATATATGAATAGTTTTCATACTGAGATATTAAAGCTTAATGTCAAAAGAAATGAGTCATTCTTTTAAATCCCCAACAAAATATTAATATGACATCTGAAAAAATGAAGAGTAATTATGTATTAAAAAATGCAAGCCTCTATCTACCAGAAGGCTCTAATTCACTTCAGGTACCAAAATCTCCAATAATCTCCAGTGTTCAGAACTGCAGAACTTAATTTGTAAGTGGTCAGATCCTGAGCCACCACATCATGTAAGTACATGTCCAGTGCTAAAGCATGCAAATAGTGACATGGATTTCTCTGAGATTCTTCAGATGGTTAAATTGGGATTGATCAAAAAAATCACACATTTGAATGAAAAATCAGTTTCTACTGCAGCAGTACAGAAAATTATTTGTCTTAACTCACCTAGTAGTTAGCAAAATCCTTCAGATTGACATTATCCTGTACTGCAGGGGTTTTGCTCTCTTTATTCACCAGCAAAACACATGGACATAGTGCACCTAATTTTTCTTTTTACTTATTCCAAATAGCAGAGATCTTGACTAAGGGCCTGATCCAGGTCCTGTTCATATCAGGGTGATCAGGCGTTTCCAGTTCTCAGTCACACATCCCAAAGGCAGGTTAGGCACTAAAAAAAGGACTGAAAAAATCACTGAGCTGCCCAGGCTGGCACAAGCTCTAGCAAGAAGCCAGGAGCCATACAGATGATTAATTAGAGAAAACTATTCATCACAGGCAGCGAGTTACTTTATATCAGCCAATTCATGGTAACTATGCCTATAATATATTTAAACTCCAGCAAATATGTTAATCTGAGTTTTAGTCCTCAGTGACAGAGTGACACTTGTTTCTCTGTATCATCACTGCTGATAAATGAGCTTATTTCATAATATTTGTGGTGCGACTAGTGTTGGTAGAAGGATGTTAATGACTATTTCAGGGAATCTGACCTTTCAGTCAGATTTAATTGTGCATTCTTCTGAGTCTGACAGAAATACTTCAAGATGATGACCCTGATTCTGATTTGTATTACAATGCAAGAGTATACTAAAAATATTTCCATTTGTAGCAAAAATATTGCAGCCTTTGACAATCTGTTCTCCAGCTTAATTTCTCCTTTTAATAGTAAAGTGGCCTCTTGTGTAATTTGTTCAAGGGGAAACAATGGATGTGAAGGATTATTTTGCATGAATTGTAGGAGGATCATTGCATTTCAAAAGCCATGCCCCAGAGAACTTATAAATATGTTATAAAATCCTGAAAAATTCAACAAGTCCTCATTTTTTTTCCCTTCCAAAACCCAGAAATTTGTCTTTTAAAAGAAGTCTTCCAGCCACTAGAAGAATAATAAAGGTTCTAGAAAGAAGTTATATCTCTTACTTCAGCTTCACCGGAATAGCTGAGTTTCACTTCCTTATCCTGCTAAAGTAGCAGAGGGCAGAAAATGGAAGATCTATGCTCGATTTAATTGTGTAACTCTTCTAGTCGGTATGAAAATTCAGGTCATTTACACATATTGTGATTCCCAGTAATGCGCCTATTTTTCATTTGCCTGCAAATGCTAACACACCATTATGTCTCTCCCCACTTTAAATTCAAGATACTTACGTGTCTTCTTTGTGGTAGCATTTACTGTGGCACTAAAGGGACCTGCTCCAGCACTGTTATAAGCACGGACAGCTGTGTAATATGCTAAGTTGCTCTTCAAACCTGTTATTCTTATTGATGTCTCATTCCCTGCAGCTTTTACTCTGTTTGAAGATTCTTCTTTTCCACCATTATTCCAGTACCTAACCTGTAGACATAAACATAAACCAAAACAATTTAAAATCTTCCATAGAATGGACTGTTCATCCACAGCATTGCATTTGACTCCTTTAAGGTAATTTTTTCTCAGCTGAAAAAGGTAGAAATACATTAAAGTTTCAAAAATGTTTACTATGTAAAAAAAAAAAATCTTATCCATCTGCCTTTCACGCTTGCTGCTCTTTTTAATGCGACTGTAAGGAAAAAGGAAACTGAAATATTAGATCTTGCTTGAATTAAAAAATGACAAGAGGAAAACCATTACTTCATCTAGAAAGTAAACAAGTTAAACTCAGAAAACTGTACCTTACAAAATAGTTTCTTTGGAAGTAAATTTAATTCTGAAAAAATATGTCTGTTTGAAAATACTGTTAGATGGACACGTGACTATCAGCACAGGAAGCAAACCACAATTTCATTGCAAAGATACTTAGAAGAAATATCCTTCTTCTGGGTGTAGGTGGGGCAGGAAGAAAGCAAGATATGTGATAATATTTTGTAAATTTGTGCTGCTGCCCTGCAGCGTGCATGACCCTTCTAGCTCATGGCCGTTTACAGGTGTGAGTGTATTTTAAATGAGCTTACCTCGTAGCCCAGTAACCTTCCACTACTCATTTTCCAGGGAATGGGCGTCCAGGAGACCTCGATGACAGAGGACGACAGACTCATCGCAGATACACCGGAGGGTGCTATGCTAGGCTCTGTATTTGGAAATCAATAAATGAGAGATCAGCTGCATTGGTGACTGTGGAAATAAACATGTCCATATTCAATGTGATCTCGTCTCTATTAACTGTTGCTATACTCTCTGAGGAAACATCTCATGCTAAATACCTAGAGGTAACTCAACTCAATTAATCTGGAGATGGCTCAATCACGTACCTTCTTCCGCTGAAAAAACTGTGGTTACTGAACTAAATGGCCCTTCTCCTTTATTGTTATAGACACCAACTTTGACTTCATATGGCGAAAAGGGCAAGATGCTTTCATTCCTAAAGACGTATCTCGGTGTGTCTGGAGAGGTGACCACAGTCTGTATCCATGTGGTGGTGCCAAAGGGGCGGAAAGCAACAACATAGCCAAATCCTTCTCCATTTTGTAATTCTTCAGGGATGGGCTGTGAGAAAAGCAACAGATGACAGAAGTTCATGATGCTACACAGCATTGGGCACATTTTGCAGGAAGAAAGTACTGACAGGCTAACATACACGGTAGTCACCAGCTTCTGGTACTGCATTTGGGATCATTCCATCAGCAAATTAACTCTGGTACAGCAGGGCAAAATGTGTGCCTTTGAACCTATTTTAAGGTTTGTGCTTTGAGAACAACTTTCAGGTATATTCCTTGTTTGCCACTGTTTTAAGACACTCTTCAGTAAATGCTATTTTTTTCAATTTCACAATCTGTAGTTCATAAAAAATTAATAATGTCTTAGTCAACCATTATAGAATCCAATACTACCTTTGTAAAGTGGCTTCTACTTTCCTCTGATGTGATTATGATTAGCTAACCACACAGAGTAGTCAATGTTAATAACAGAATGTTAACATTTTTAACTCATTAAAAAGAGGATACATAATATAAAGTAATATCTGATTTTTTTTTTTTTTGTATTGGCTAGCACATGCATCCAGAGTTAATGGTAGGAAAGCAAGAACTGCAAATTCACACTGAAAAGCATAGTTCTTTAGCTCAACCTTTGAGCAATACCCCTTCCTCTTCCTCCACCCTCCTGCCCCCTTCTTAGCGCTAACATTTGTTTGAGAACAGAAGCAATCTCAGACAAATGAACTAAATTTCCTACTGATTGCCATCGAGCACAATAACACATGAAAGTGACAGAAGGGAGGCAAACGTGCATAGTTCACATTACAGAATGTTACCGAGCACATATACATCCTAGATGAGAAGCTGCTGCAGCCAGGGAAATTCATCTTTTAAGAAGAGTTTGAATGAAAACAATCATTCTCTGAGGAAAATTGCTTGCCAGAAAACTTACATCCCATGTTATGACCAGTTCAGACCTGCTGCCTCCTCCCCCACTGACTTCAGATGGGGGAATTTCAGGAACTGTGAAAAGGAAACGTAGAGCTGTCTACACCATGCAGATACAATAGATGACATCATATAACATTAACCTCATGCTCTGAAGCCAGTTGCATTCATATTGCTCTTGCATATTAAGGCAAATGGTGGGGTTTGATTTTTTCCGGTTTTGGGGTTTGTTTGGGGTTCATTTTTTTGGGTTTGTTTTGGTTTTTTGGGTTTGTTTTTTTGCAGCAGGCAGTCACTTCCTGCACTCGCCCTGCTGTTTTCCATCACTCAGGCAGGCAGATGTTTTTCTGAGCACTTGAAGATCCTCACCAGCTTGCAGACTGAACCCTATGTGCTAATGTTTATGAACTTTAAAATGTTGGAGGCATGCTTCACTTTTTTAATAGGGCTAGCTTCTGCTGATGCATTGGGCAAAGGGCCTTATTTCAAGTAAACTCCTGGGGTTTAATTGATGTGGTATTCTGAGCCACGTGCTCGTTACATGGGGAAGGTGTATGCTGATCAAACACTAGGAATGAAAAAAAAACCCTGTTAAAATTAACCTCTTTCCATCTATTAATATCTTCAGACTCTGTAGTACTGCCTGAGCTGACAGACTGGCATACTGAACAGTTTAAATGTATTTAGCTGTTATGCTTCTGTGATGTTCAGTAACACAACACAAACTGTCCCACAGCTAAAAAGAAAAATCATGAACAAAGTAGTTACAGGCTTTTATATTTGATGGTAATTCCAAGCTTGTTTGCAAAGAGCTAAGGATATGAATGCTACTCTTTTTTTTTGTTAATATTCAAGACTCTTGAATTAGAAACAAAAAGAAGAACCCACTAACCTGCCTCTTCAGTTCTTACTTTTTCTGAGGGTAAGCTAGGTTCTCCACCCCCGATTTTGTTACTGGCAACTACACGAAATTCATATTCAACCCAAGGATTTAAATCCACTACTGTGGTTGTGAATGTTTTTCCATCGATCACATCTGGAACTATTAAGAAGAAAGAAAAAAAAGGAAACTAAGAACACAGCGTCCCTGGTTGAAAACATTTCCACACAGCCCGTAACAAGAATTGTGTTGTACCTGTTGTAACTCGCTGCCAGCCTACAGAGAAGGGTGTCCTTGCTTGTATGGTGTAAGTGGTTACTGGGCTGTGATTATCTGTGCCTTCTTGCCAGGAGATCTGAGCCGTGGTATCAGTTATTTCATCCACTTTCACATGTTCAGGAGGCCCAGGTGAGCCTGGAATCAGATTGAAAAACAGGCAGAGTTTTGTAAAGCCAGTACCCCGGAAATCACTAACACAGCAGTACGGATTCCCACCTTATCAGCGCCATAGGAGGAAGAAAACAATGCAGCTTGGAATAAGAACACTTGTAATTATTGTTTTACATTCACTAAACTGAAGTCTGATAATCTATTTCTGAAACACTCTGAACTGCAGCACATGACAGGTTTTGTCCCTCGTGCCCCAACTGTTCTTCAGCATGATCGTCTGCCTTTCCAATGTCTGTCACTTTAGTCTTCAATGTCCTCTTTTAATCTACAAATACATCTCTGGAGTCTACCAATTTGTCATCTACAGCTGTGTTACTGTACTATGCACTGCAGCTTTTTTTCAGCACAACATCTGAGCAGCACCCCAAGTAGCAATTCAGTCAGGCAAGCGCTCTGCTGCCTTCTGGAAAAATCCTGATTCTGGGCATCCTGGCAAAAAATGCTGGGTTTGGTCTCATCTGCACCAGCAAAGGGGGTTGAAATAACTCTTCTTCCCTCTCATCAGTGACTTGAAGGACTGTCAGTGAGAAAAGATGTGAAGTCAGGATTTAGTATATCCTTCAGCTCTTAATTTCTTTGGGAAAAATGAAGCTTCATCCAAAAATCGAGCTAAAAATTCTCCCTAACTGCAAGGCAGAATCACGTAATTCCAAGTCATAGAAGAACTGTCTTTTGTAATCTATTATATCAGTTGATTCTGTAATCTACAATACACAGAAGTTAGAAAATATGATTCACTATAACTGAACCTGAAATTTACCTCGTACGATAAGGTCCGCTGCAGATGCTACACTATCCACTTCTGTCTTCACCATACAAACGTATTTTCCACTGTGTTTCAGCTGGATGTTTCTAATCATTAAATCTCCTGATGCACTCTGTCGAAATACAAAGTTCTTATTAATGCAAATGTACTACCTTGTAATTTAATATTAAGATTGTATTTGCAAAGGGAAAAGAAATCACCCAAAAACACTGAAGATAAAGTTGCTCAAAAATTGCACGGGCAGACAGCCTGCAGGACAGGAAGTTATTACCCAGCAGATGCTCCATGGTAATTCTTAAGCATTTTCTAATAAACATGAGGTTGTGTCCCACTGTTACAGGAAAAGTAAGCTACAACATGGTGAGCTTGTACTGGGAGTGTTCCTCCAGACTGCTATTGGGAACCAAGAAGAAAGTTGACACCCTGTGACCAACCATTTGGCTCAAAGCCCTGAAAAAGACAAAAATGTGGTTTCTATGGCCATTAACGGGATGCACCCGCGGG